GGGCCATCAGACATGGGTTTGGGGGCTGGGGGGTGGCCCCCATCCTGACCAGGCAGTGCCAGCCCTGGCTGAGGGGTGGCACCAGCACCACAGCAGGGAGCTGCTGCCTCTCAGGAGCTGCTGCCTCCCAGGAGCTGCTGCCTCCCAGGAGCTCACTCCGGGGGAGGGACTGAAACGAGCTTTGAATTCTCTAAAAAAGCCCCGCACGACTCAGCCCCCCCCTCGGCCTCTGCTCTATTATGTGAGATGCATTTAAAAAAAAAAAAATAATTCCCTGCCTCTGTGGGGGATGGAAGCTGAGGGGGGAGCTGTGCTGGGGGGTCCCAGGGGAGGGAGAGAAGCCTGGGGGAGCAGAGAATGGGGTCCTGGGTGCAGGTAGGGACAGACAGACAACTAGCCTGGGGGGGTCAGGTAAGCACAGAAAGACCCACAGCTCTTGGATTGGGGTGTTTGAGCAGAGACTTTGCCCTGGAAAAGGTTTTCTCTGCAATATGGAGGCAGGAGATCATGGGCCCGTTGGCCCAGGGGTCATTTCAGACCGAAGCTCCAGCACGAACCCAAACACAGGGATGTGTGTGGTTCTCAGCCTTCATCGCAGGAAGGGATGAGCCATGGGCTATAAATACTTGTTCAGGGCCAAAGGAAATGGCAGGACAGGCCAGGAGAGGGGCTGGGCACCAGCAGGGCCCTTCAGGAAGATGGTGGAAGCAGTTGACAGGAGGGTTATTAATAGCTTGGGCACTTCTCCCAGCAGGGAGGCAGCAGGGGGTGGGTGCTCCTCGGCCCGGGAAGCACAAGGAACATCTTCCCTTTCCCAGCCGAATCCTGCCCGACGTAGTGGGTTCCATCCCTTCCAACTCGTGGAAAACCCATCCCAAAAGGGCAGGAGGCCACGTTCCTGCTCTGCCCCACCAAGAGCTGCTGCAAATCCTTTCCCAGGCAGGCGGGAGCTGAGCGACTTTGTGGGGAAGGAGGGACGTGGGAGGGGAGGGGGCTGCAGCTTTGCAGCAGAGCTGATGAATGGAGCCTTTGTGCTCCTGCTGCAGCAGTTACCATGTCAGCCTTCAGTGGAGGAAGAAAAGGGGCAGCTCTGCTCCCCCCCCCTGCCTGACCCTGCTCCCTTCCTGCTGCCTTTTGTCTGGGCCAACCGAGAGGGCCAGACCAGCAGCTCCACAAACAGCTCCAGCTCTGAGGGACAAAGCACCTTTCCCCCCCTGGGTGTGGATGCAGCCCCAGGGTGTCCGTGTTGGGGGGCTCCCCCCCCAGCTCGCTGCCCCGCTGCCGCAGGTGGAAGGCGAACTCGAACATGGTGGCAGCCAAGCTCTGGTGGATCAGGTACCGGGGCAGGCGGCCCTGGGGGGAGAGGGACAGACATGGAGCCATCAGACACGGGTTTTGGGGCTGGGGGGTGGCCCCCATCCTGACCAGGCAGTGCCAGCCCTGGCTGAGGGGTGGCACCAGCACCACAGCAGGGAGCTGCTGCCTCTCAGGAGCTGCTGCCTCCCAGGAGCTGCTGCCTCCCAGGAGCTCACTCCGGGGGAGGGACTGAAACGAGCTTTGAATTCTCTAAAAAAGCCCCGCACGACTCAGCCCCCCCCTCGGCCTCTGCTCTATTATGCGAGATGCATTTAAAAAAAAAAATAATAATTCCCTGCCTCTGTGGGGGATGGAAGCTGAGGGGGGAGCTGTGCTGGGGGGCCCCAGGGGAGAGAGAGAAGCCTGGGGGAGCAGAGAATGGGGTCCTGGGTGCAGGTAGGGACAGACAGACAACTAGCCTGGGGGGGTCAGGTAAGCACAGAAAGACCCACAGCTCTTGGATTGGGGTGTTTGAGCAGAGACTTTGCCCTGGAAAAGGTTTTCTCTGCAATATGGAGGCAGGAGATCATGGGCCCGTTGGCCCAGGGGTCATTTCAGACCGAAGCTCCAGCACGAACCCAAACACAGGGATGTGTGTGGTTCTCAGCCTTCATCGCAGGAAGGGATGAGCCATGGGCTATAAATACTTGTTCAGGGCCAAAGGAAATGGCAGGACAGGCCAGGAGAGGGTCTGGGCACCAGCAGGGCCCTTCAGGAAGATGGTGGAAGCAGTTGACAGGAGGGTTATTAATAGCTTGGGCACTTCTCCCAGCAGGGAGGCAGCAGGGGGTGGGTGCTCCTCGGCCCGGGAAGCACAAGGAACATCTTCCCTTTCCCAGCCGAATCCTGCCCGACGTAGTGGGTTCCATCCCTTCCAACTCGTGGAAAACCCATCCCAAAAGGGCAGGAGGCCACGTTCCTGCTCTGCCCCACCAAGAGCTGCTGCAAATCCTTTCCCAGGCAGGCGGGAGCTGAGCGACTTTGTGGGGAAGGAGGGACGTGGGAGGGGAGGGGGCTGCAGCTTTGCAGCAGAGCTGATGAATGGAGCCTTTGTGCTCCTGCTGCAGCAGTTACCATGTCAGCCTTCAGTGGAGGAAGAAAAGGGGCAGCTCTGCTCCCCCCCCCTGCCTGACCCTGCTCCCTTCCTGCTGCCTTTTGTCTGGGCCAACCGAGAGGGCCAGACCAGCAGCTCCACAAACAGCTCCAGCTCTGAGGGACAAAGCACCTTTCCCCCCCAGGGTGTGGATGCAGCCCCAGGGTGTCCGTGTTGGGGTGTCTAGGAGCAGTGAATCCCCCCTGCAGGGTTTCCTGGCAGTGCCAGGCAACCCTTCACATGCCCGTTTTCAGGCCCCAAAGAGGATCACAACCTCCTGTCCCCTCCTGCACACAGGGATGTGGGAGCCCTAAGTGAGATTTCAGCCAGGTAAGGAAAAGCTTCCCCACCTCATACTGGGACAAGAGGGTGACTTCTAGGGGGCGTTTAACCTCCACCTGCAAAACTCCCATCCCCTTAGGGCAGCCTTTGGTAATGAGTTACCTCCCAGAGCAGGACCACGGCCACTGAGAACAGGGGACAGGTGCTCAGCACACAGCCCAGGGACACTAGGGATGGGACTTGGCTGCAGCAAACACCATCAGCCAAGAACTGGCTTTACCTTCAGGTCTGTGTTGAGGATCCAGATGAACGTGCAGACCCTGGGGTTGCTGGGACATTTCAGGATGATGAATCCTCCAGGCCCATTCTCACCCCTGCAGGGAAGCAAGAGCAGAAGGTCAGAGCCAGGGTTGGCTCCAGGGTGTCCTGCATGGATCCCGTGCTCACTCCTGCCCGGGCAGCCAGGATGGGAGCCCAGCAGGGGGGAGCAGATGTGCAGAGTGCCTGGGGAGGTGGCTGCTTTGGCTGCAGGGCCAGGCAGGTTTCCCACAGGTGTCCTGGCAGCATCAGGGCTGAAACTGAGGAGCAGCCGCTGCCTCTGGACGGTGCCAGCCCAGCCAACACCTGCTCTCCACCACGGGGAAGTTTCTGAGGGAAAACCCTGTGGAAATGGGTGCCAATAGCAGGTCCCAGGAAAGCCCTGCACCATCATTACAGGCTCGGCAAGGGGAGCTTTGTC